GTCCGACGGCGCACGCGCAGCCCGGGCCTCGTGCAGACGACGCCACACAACCTCGGTGTCGTTGCTCGGGTGAGGTCCTTCAGCGCTGCCTCCCGTCCTAGTGAGGTTCCTCGTCTGATTTTGGACTTATTTTCGACTCCTATACGTAGAAGATATGTTTTCCCTCGCTCCTCGAGTGGCGCTGTAAGTTTCTTTTCCCTCGTCATGGTTGGAGTGTGTGTTTTCCGCCGTGCACGGACAGATGAGCATTTCTGTGTGCAAGTTGACACTGAGCGAGTGTGGGGCTGAGAGATGCCACCGCTTCTTTCGGCTTTTGCTTTCTCGGTTTTGGCCGCCGGAAGAACGTGTCGCGGTGGATTCTTTTGGTATTTCAGTGTTATTTGATGTTTTAGAAATCGTGCTTTTCAGGGACAGGAGAATAAAGACCATGTTGAGAGATCATTCGCAAAGCCGCTTAGTAGGCATTTCGGTTATTTCTTATCGGGATCATTGGCATCAAAGAGAAAATCAACATTCACCGGTATGATGCAACGGAGTGTGTAGACGCGTTAATCAAGAAAGTAAAACTTTGATATTAAATAAAAGCAATCAGCATGTGGGATCCAAAACTAGAGCTGATCTATTTGTGCATTGAGTTGATCATTGGTGTATACAGTAGGCCTATAAATTCTTATGGCTGATAAGTACTGCATATGTATGATTGTCTGTGTACATATGTAAATATGTGTATATATGCACATACATATATACACACATACATAAACTCACACTACACATAAATACTCATACATGGACATACATACATATGCATACACATGGATACACATACATACACACACATACACACTTACACATACATACATACACACATACATACATCCACACATACACATATACACACATACACATATATTAATGGGATGACATTCTTACACACATTTACACAACACACACACATATAGATATGTATATATATGATATGTATGCATATTGTATGTACATGTATATGAGTGTGTGTATATATATATATATTTATATGTATATATTTATGTATGTGTATGTGCATATATTTATATGTATATATGTGAATTTATATATATATATATATTTATTTATATAAATATTTATATATTTATATATATATATATATATATATATATATATATATATATATATATATATATATATATATATACATGTATTTATATATAGATGTTTAAATGTATATATAAATATATATACATAATTATACATAAACATATATAATTTCATATAAATTCACACATGAATATATGTAAATATATAAATATACATACATATATTCATTCATACATACATTCATACATACGTACATAAGTATGTATACACATGTATACATACATATACATTTATATGTATATACATGTATATATTTATATATATGTATGTATATGTGCATGTGTGTATATATGTATATATATATGTGTGTGCATGTATATGTATGTACATATGTATGTATATATATACATATATATACATATATATACATATATATATATATATATATATATATATATATATATATATATATATATATATATATATATATATATGTGTGTGTGTGTGTGTGTGTATATGTATGTGCATATATATGTATATATGTATATATGTGTATTCATGTATGTATTTGTTTTATATGTATATGTATATATACATGCATATATATATATATATATATATATATATATATATATATATATATATATATATATATATATATATATATTTACATATATATATATTTACGTATATATATGTATATGTATACATACATGTGTTTATATAGTGTGTATGTATATATAAATATGTATATGTATATATATATTTATGTGTATATATGTATATATATATATGTATGTTTATGTATATATATAGAAAGAGAGAGACAGAGGGAGAGGGAGAGAGCGACGCACATTCATTCAGACACATGCATATATAATATGTGTATATATATAATACAAATACACACACACGGTCGCAGTGACATACCCCCCCCCCCCCCTACACACGCATGCATTCTCACATTCACGTGCACGTGAACATGCTCGCGCTCATTTATACAAAGACACGGACACTTGCGCGGCCGCATGCCCCCCCCCCCCACACACACACATATGTGTCAATTTTTGATGTATACGAAATATATGCTTGTTTATATGCATGTGTTCCATGCTGTGCTTATGTACAGTATATATACAAACATACATCCATATTCGTGCGTGTGTTTGCGCGTTTTCCTGGATAAAAGGAAATGAAACACGCGGACGCACCTAACAGACAAACCATTCAAACGACTTGTTTATCTATGTGTATTTTGTCTGTCTGGACGTGTACGTGCTTATGTGTGAATACTGAAACCGAAACTGAAGTCAACCCGCTTCTATCTGCAAGTGTACAATAAATATACATCATTCAAGAAGATGAGCCATAGATTGAGTGATTAAAAGTAAATTATGCTGTTGGTGATACTTATAAAGATTTCCCTTGACAAAAGAAAAATCAGGTGTCGTAGAACAGCATTTCAGTGCCCCCTCCTCCCCCCCGCCCCCCTTCCATTCAGTCACCGTGACTTCAGGACTCGTCTGGAGGGCAGCCAAACTAGGCTTTCTTGTTGGGTCAATGTTGCAACGCCTACCCGGGTCGAGGCGCAGGCACTGGAACATTCCAAGGAGCGTGTAAACTTTTTTTTTTATTGCAATGTATTATTTAGAACAGATAAGAAACAAGGCATCAAGTAGAAGATGGTGCATTATGGCAAAGAGGGCATTGTAAGTGTGCATGTGCAGGTGCGGATCAATACAGCACTTAGGGATGACAGGACAGCTGTAGAAAGTGGGCGGGGAGAGCGAGGGCGTGGGGTTAGAGGAGTGGTTAGACGCAGGGGAGGATGTAGTCACTGGGGAGGAAGCGAAGGGGGTGCCTCGGGGTGCAGTGCCGGAGGAGAGGAACGTTACCCCCCCCCCCCTGGAGTAGTACCTATCACCTCCTCCCAAGAATTTCGGTAAGTTCGGTAAGTGTATTTTTGGAGTATGTGGAGATTATGGACGACAGGGGAAGGGTATAAGGTCGGTTATTTTGGGTACGGACTCGGTTGGTGGGGAGGAAGGGGAGGGGAGAGAGAGAGGGGGGGGCGGAGACGTAGAGGTGACATTTGTCCGAACTTAGACTTCGATGTTGAAATTCCGAATGAAAGGAAAATTCACCCATTCTCGCATTTTTCCGGGCTTAGGACACGTGTAGGTTGAAAGAACTGTTGACTTGGATCAAGTTAGAGTTCAGTTCAGATTAAATCACGTTGAGACTTACCACCGCTAGCATTTTTCACCACCCACACACTGCGTTCAAGAGTGGAAGATGAGACTGGAGTTGGATACACAATAGTTTTGTTTCAAGGAGATCTGTTAGGCACGCGCATGTGTGTGTGTGTGTGTGTGTGTGTGTGTGTGTGTGTGTGTGTGTGTGTGTGTGTGTGTGTGTGTGTGTGTGTGTGTGTGTGTGTGTGTGTTTATGTGTCTGTGTCTGTCTGCCTGTCTGTCTGTGTCTTTGCATTTGTCATCATTGTCAACGTTACCATAGTTATTATTCCTTTGTCGATATTGCTTGCATTCTCATAAATTCGAAGAGATTATAAACTATTTGTGCTGCAATGCAGCTTGGCTGAAGGGCATGGAGAGCGCTGGCATGCAAGTCTGACAAGTCTGGGAAGTTCTTGTAGCCCCGCACAGCCAGTGTGGAAGTGTATCGCCCTTTTGTGAAAGTCTGTTGGCAGGCCGTCTGTTCAGCGCTGGCGTGTGCTGTTCCCTGGGATCATTTGTGAGGGAGAGGCCTGAGGTCTTGGTGGACCCGAGAGACCGCTTTACCCTAGTCTTGTGTTAATTGGGTCCAAAAGTGTGCTCATCGGACAACTTTTGTTCTCGTGGCAGTTGCTTATCGTGGGTGGTTAGGTTCGGGCGATAGATGTGGGTGTAGGGGAGGACGGGGAGGGGGAAGGGAAGGGGTGCCAAGAGGTGGGAGGGGACGACTTGACTTCGCTCGAGAGTGCCAAGGTGCCCGTTCTACCGGCTGCGGTGCCATCCTACACACTTCTCTTTTCTACCTATATCCTCTGTCTGCCTTGTTCCTCCCTCTTTTCTTCTCCTTCCTTATTCTTACCCTCCTCCACATGCTGTTTCTTTTCCCTTCCCTCTTCGTTTATCTTTCTTCCTCTCTGCCCCTCTTCCACCATCTCCCTGCGGCGCCTTTCGCCGCATTCGTGACGTGCGTCGGGGTGCAGCAGAAGCCACGAACTTCGCCGGGAATTGTATTGATTCCCCGGCATTTCGAGAAGCGCTTGTTTCCCTCCCGCGAGAGGAAGAGCTTACATCGACCTCTCGAAGGTGAGCTGTCGGCGAGACGGGCGGTTTGGGCGGGGCAGGGCGCTGCCGCTTCCAGGGACACGCCTCGTGGCCGCTCTTTAGCCCAGCCTCTCTCCCTCCCTCCCTATCTCCCTCCCTCTCCCTCCCTCTCCCTCCCTCTCCCTCTCCCTCTCCCTCTCCCTCTCCCTCCCTCTCTCCCTCCCTCTCTCTCCCTCTCTCTCCCTCTCTCTCACTCTCTCTCCCTGTCCCTCCCTCTTCTCCCTCCCTCTCCCTCCCTCTCTCTCCCTCTCTCTCTCTCCTCTCTCTCTCTCTCTTCTCTCTCTCTCTCTCTCTCTCTCTCTCTCTCCTCTCTCTCTCTCTCTCTCTCTCTCCTCCCTCTCTCTCTCTCTCTCCCTCTCTCTCCCTCTCTCTCCTCTCTCTCTCTCTTCTCTCTCTCTCTCTCTCTCTCTCTCTCTCTCCCTCCCTCCCTCTCTCTCTCTCCCTCTCTCTCTCCCTCTCTCTCCCCCTCTCTCTCTCTCCCTCTCTCTCCCCCTCTCTCTCTCTCCCTCTCTCTCCCTCTCTCTCTCTCCTCTTCTCTCTCTCTCTCTCTCTCTCTCTCTCTCTCTC